TGGTGTGATCTTGGCTCACTGAAACCTCCGCCTCCCAGGTTCAAGCAATTCTCCTGCCTTGGCCTCTTGAGTAGCTGGGACTACAGGCACCCATCACCACGCCCAGCTAATTGTTGTATTTTTAGTGGAGACAAGGTTTCACCATATTGGTCAGGCTGGTCTCGAACTCCTGACGTTGTGATCTGCCCACCACGGCCTCCCAAAGTGCTGGGATTACAGGCGTGAGCCACCACACCCGGCCGCAACTGAACTTCTTGAATGAGACAATTCCTTTTTCTCAATTCTTACTCACTTTTCAGTTTTCATAGAACATTTATCTTATCTTATTTTACAAACACTGCCCTCACCAAGGTCCAGACTCAGACTTCCACATTCCATGGTTTGCTTTCTGCGTGTAGTGCTGTTGACTACCCTCTACTTCCTTCGGCCTCTAGAACATCCTTCTCTTGTGGGTATGTATGTATGTATGATTGTTTTACTTCTCTGTCCTTTCACAATCTTCTTTGTCATATCCCTGCCCTCCTCTTCCTTTTCTTAATCATTAGGGCTCATTAGATCTTCATTTAAATTGTCTCAGTATACTTACTTTCTAAGTCGTCTCAACTATTATACTTCAGTAGCTTTAAGTACTACCTATCTTTGGATAGTTCTAAAATTCTGTCACTGGCTGGGCACACTGTCTCATGCCTGTAATCCCAGCACCTTGGGAGGTCGAGGCGGGCAGATCATGAGGTCAGGAGTTCAAGACCAACCTGGCCAACATAGTGAAACCCCCATCTCTACTAAAAATACAAAAACTAGCCGGGCATGGTGGTGGGTGCTTGTAGTCCCAGCTACTCAGGAGGCTGAGACAGGAGTATCACTTGAACCTGGGAGGTAGAGGTTGCAGTGAGCCAAGATGGTGCCACTGCACTACAGCCTGGGCAGCAGAGTGAGACTCCATCTCAAAAAATAAAAATAAAATAAAATTCTGACCCTATCCCAGACTCTTTACTGAGAGCCAGACCAGTATTTACAACCACTTGTACATCTCCATCTGGAATACCAAAAAAAAAAAAAAAAATCTAACATTAACAAATTTCAAATTAATCACATTTCCTATCCCTTTGCCCAGCTCCAATTGTTAATGGAATCACAACCCCAGTCACCAAGATCAGAAATAACTGGAACTTTTCCATTTTTCTTTCCCTCATTTATTTTTTTTTCTGTTGAATATCTTAAATATGTTTCTTCTTTATTCCTCCATTGTTGCCTCTTTGTAGGCTCCTATTCTGTCATCTCACTAGTGCTGTTTGATAGAAGTATACTATAAGCCACTAAATAACTAAAATTTTTAGTAGCACCCTAAAATAATAAAAAGAAATGAAATAAATTGAATGATATATTTTATTTTTAATCCAATATATCTAATGTATTAGTTCAACATGTAATATTTTAAAATTATTATTGAGAGATTTCACATGGTTTAAAAAAATTATACTAGGTCTTTGAAATCTTGTGTCTATTTTATATTTGTCGGACATTCCAATTTAGACGAGCCATGTTTCAAGCACTGGGTAGCCATATGTGGCTAGTGACTATTGTCTTGGACAGTATAGATCTAGTTTATCTTAAGAGCTTCCTTTTTTATTTTCTGGTTTTTATAGTCTCTTCTTAACTGGCCGATTCTCCATATCGCTACCAAAGTTATCTTCCTAAAAACAAATTTGATCATCACATTTGCTTGCTTTAAAAAGTCCACTTACTCTCTGATGCCTGTAGAATTATTTTCTTATTCAAGAACTTTTACAATCGAGTCCTAACACATTTCATCAACTTTATATCTAGCTACTCTGTTTTTCTCTGTCTACATTGGCTTCTCACATTCCTTACAACTCTGTTCTTTCCTCCACCTAGAATTTTTTGTCTTAGACCAATCAATTCCTAACTATCCTTTAAGACCAACTCATACATCGTCTACTCATTAAAGTCTTCTATGACATCCTCAGTTAATTTCTGAATCCTTCATGTATATACAAATCTGTGTTCATATCTCTGTTATAAGTACTTAATTTACTTATGTTCATCTCTCACTATTTTATTTCCCCAGAGCTAAGCACACTTACTAAGCTTATGGTTTAGCATGCTTGAATGAATAAGCATATGTATTTGGACTATACTTTTTAAACAGAAAATTTTGATTCTGTAATTTTAATCATTTCAAGGAAGAATTATAAAGTTATTTGTAATGTTGGATTGTTGCTCTAAATTGATTTTGCTTTTCTCATAGGTTCAAATAAAAAAACAACTGAGAGAAATAAAAGACAAGAAAAATGAAAACTCATTTGAGAAACAGCTCTCCTGTCATGAAAATTCTAAAAGCTGTATAAGGTTAGTGATTAACGTTAAAAGTGGAATGCAAATGAGTGGAATAGAAATTAAGTAGTACAAAAGGAGTATTCTTTAAAAAAAAAGAAAAGAAGAGGGGTTTAAATGTATTTAATCACTTATTTGAAAGCACACACTTGATAATTTAAGGAGTAACTAGCTGAAATCTGAGAATCTAATTTGAGCTCTCCTCTGTTTTTGGTGAAGAATTGGTTCTGGCTGGGCATGGTGGTTCACTCCTATAATCCCAGTGCTTTGGTAGGCTAAGGTGAGAGGATCATATGAGACCAGGAGTTTGGGATCAGCCTGGGGAACATAATGAGGACCACCCTCCCCTCCTCCATCTCTACTGGAAAATAACACAAAATAAAAAGAATTACAAGAATTTGTTCTTTTCAGTTTATTTCTGAATCTGTTTTAGACCAAAACTTTTGTAAAATAAAAATGTTACAGCAATGTAAAATTTCTGAATGCTGGCCAGGTGTGGTGGCTCACACCTGTTAAGGCCAGTATTTTGGGAGGCTGAGGTGGGAGGATCACTTGAGCTTAGGAGTTCAAGACTAGCCTGGGCAACATAATGAGACCCTGTCTCTACTGAAAATTTACAAATGAGCCAGGCATGGTGACACATGGCTGCAGTCCCAGCTACTCAGGAAGTTGAGGCAGGAGGATATCTTGAATTCAGGAGTCTGAGGTTGCAGTGAGCTATGATCACACCAATGTACTCTAGCATGAGCAACAGAGCAAGACTGTGTCTCAAAAACAAACAAAAATTCTGAATGCTTACCATCATTTTTTGTACTTAATCACAAACCAATATTAAACAATACATAAGCACTGGTGCTCAGACAACACTGTGAATAGCACTGATCAAGTTATTTATGGACAAAAAGTAGGGAGTACCTAATAGTATAGCACAACATTCTTCATCAGTTATAATTTATACTGCTTATTAACTTTCACATATTGCTTTCCTGTGTTGTAGCAGGTACCAGCAAGTGTTTATGTTAAAACATTTTTTAATGTATATGAGTTTCTCTTTTTTTAGTTGCTATTAAAACCATTGCCTATTTTAACATAAATGTCTAGAAATACAATGTTTAGTACTTGAGTTTAATAGATGTTTAACACATTTTTCAACTAAATTGAATATGAGTAGTACACTGGAAATTAATTGATGCTTAGAATAACTTGTTTTAATGCATTTGAAACTTAAGCTCATTTTGATCTGAAATGTATTTAGAGCTGTCCAAAAGTTGTATTTTTAAGTCAATATGTTGTCAGATTCATAATTAAATTTATGATCCATTAGTACTTTTCATCAGAATATTACTGTCTTAAAAGAGTAAGGTTATTTAGTTCCTAAAACAGTTGGCAGTAGTCACTGAGGTTTATTGAAACTATCAGTATTTTATAACACTGTAGCTCCTTAGATGTTAACTTTTGGGTATTTATGGCATACTTTGAGAATGTGAAGAATGATTCAGATCCCTTCTGCTAGAAAAATATGCATGTTTAGAGACATAAATCTTTGTATATGATTTCAAGATATTCATGGACTACCTACTCCAAGAGCTTACCCATGAGCCCCAAAGTTAATAACTACATTAGGCCAAATTTTATAATTGTTGCTGAAAAATAGTTATCACTTTTGGTTCTTGCATTTGTATTTACATAGTAGATAGTAGTACACTTTTCTCACGCATAGTGAAGAAATACCATTTGGTAGAAATACTTTCATTCTTGATACAACTTACATCACTGGCTGTGACAGTATCACAGATGTGCTTTTTTTTCTCTGTCTCTCCCTCAAAATTACCCAGTTCTCTTGGCTCTTGCCGAGTGTAGTGGTCATCACAGAAAATTACCTGTAAGACTCACAGCTCTTGTTTGAGTCTAACATAGTAGAAGTAGTCCCCATATTTAACTGGTTTTTCTCAGAGATTTTTCATAAGGAAATAACAGCTGTGAAATTAATATTTGCCTTTGCCCACCAAGGGGTAACTTAACTATTTTTCCCAAAATGGAATATCTCTGTCAGCTGTTGGATATTTACATTATACTCTTTTTTGGAGTCTTGGTTGTTTTTAGTAGTGCTGTCTTTCAGTCATCTTTTTGCTGGATATGCTTGATTTTTCAACATGCAGACAAACTCCATTCAGTTTTGCCTCTCCCTTCCAAAGCAATGAAACCCTGGTACTTCTCTCTTTCTGATACTTTTTACCAGTTTCAAAGAAGGCATTGCAGTGGTGTTTTGTTTCTTCATAGTGAACCTCCATTTTAAGTGGAACTGAAAGGCTTTCCTTCCTAGAATTTTCTAATGGTTCTTTTAAAAAAGGTAGTATCTACTTACTGCTACTCTGCATGGCTCAGTAGCCAGTCAGTCACACAGCCATTAAGATTATCGTTTAAACACAGATGAGGCCAGACATGGTGACTCATGCCTGTAATCCCAGCACTTTAGGAGGCTGAAGGGAGAGAATTGCTTGAGACCAGGAGTTCAAGACTAGCCCGGGCAACATTGTGAGACTTCATCTCTAGTTAAAAAATTAAAATAAAAAATAGATTAGCCAAGGCATGGTAGCTTACACCTATAATCCCAGCACTTAGGGAGGGCAAGGCAGGAGGATCACTTGAGCCCAGGAGTTCAAGAATAGCCTCAGCAACAAAGGCAAACACTCTGTCTGAAAAAATAGAAAGAGATAAGCTGACGTGGTGGTGCATGTAGTCCCAGCTACTCAGGAGGCTGAGCTGGGAGGATCCCTTCAGCCCAGGAGGTCAAGGCAGCAGTGAGCCATGACAGCATCACACCAGTCCAGCCTGGGTGTCAGCAAAATCCTGACTAAAAAAAAAAAACCCTCCACTGCCAAAAAAAAAAAAAAAAAAAATGAGATAATACAACTCATTAGATATTAAACTCTAACTTGTCACTCTGATATCTCATAGGAGTCTGTGAGAATATCCTTAAACCATTTACTGGACGTTCAGCATAGGTAATACAATCAGTGCATAATAGATTTCATTTTGATGGAGAATGAGTTGAAAATAAATGAGCAAAATGATGTTTTTTTCCTTAATTCTTTCCTGTCTTTATTGATGTTTACAGAAGAAAAGCCATCATAAGAGAAGATCTATTAAGTGCAAACATTTGTGATTTGAAATTGATACATAGTAAGTGACTTTTTGCTTGTTATTTACCCTTTTTTGTTTGTTTGTTTGTTAATGATTGTGGTCAGACTTCTCATTAGTAACATTTTGGTCTGGAAAATAGTCCTCAGAGCTCTGCACATTGTGTTCAGTCCTACATAAATTTTGTTTTCCTGGAGCCATTTTTACTGTTTTCTGCCCTTTTTTTTCCTTCTTGCTCCTCTTAAAAGGAAAGAGGGGTGTGTGTGTGTGTGTGTGTGTGTGTGTGTGTGTATGTGTGTGTGTAGAAAAGAGTGTTTCACAATTTCTTGATGTTTACCAGCTTACATTGTGGTCTTATTCCACTGATTAGTGTAGAAGTCCTTAGGGGAGATGAGATTAAATACCCTGTGGGCCAGTAACTGTAAGCAGTAGCAAAGGAAGTCTGTGGCAGCAAGAAACTAATTCACAGTTCCCAGAGGAAATTGTACTTTGGCCTCTATTACTTCTAATTTGAAACTTTAGAAATAAAGCACCTTTAACATATTTATCTACTTTAGCCGTTAAATATTTCTGTCTCCTGTTTTTGTCTGGTACATGATTTTCTAATATACAGGAAGGCTTTGCAGCAGAGCCTGAATAAAAATGGCAACATCTGTAGTGCTTTGTGACTCCTCCTTGGGGTTCAGGCTATTTATTCTGTCCCAGAAAACATCTTACTATGATCTGTTTGTAAGCAGGAAGGTGAGCATTTATTTTCCAGACAAAGTCACAGTGAATTTCCACTTATAGCTATAACTAGTGAATTAGTGAACTTGGAAATAATTGATTTATTGTGTTAAGCAGTGAATAACTTCATTTTATATGCATTATGGATACCAAGTTTTGTTGATTGTTGTTGTTTTTTTTAATTAGAATTGACATGATCCCTCAGGTTAGATTTACAGATTAACAAATGTTCTACCTTTGAAATTTTACTATTAAAGTGAAATTACAGCAAAGCTTTTGTGGTTAAAAAGGCACTTTCTCTACTTGGAGACTTTTTCATAGAAAAAAGAAAAAATACATTTTTCTCTTGTTAGTTTTAGATATGAAAACAGCCTTTGCTTTTCCATCATTGCTGTAAATTACTATTCTTTTTTTATGGATAGCATTTGTTTGCCAATTCTAAGATCCAATATAAAATTTACTGCTGAGGAAGATTAAATGATGTTACAGATTTTCTATAGATGATTTGGCCCACTAAATTATGGTAGTCTTACCTCTGTAATATTTCTTAAGTGCATATCTCTTGCCTGGGCTTATTTTTAGAGGGTGAAATATAGGAAAATCTTTAATCCCATAGTGCTTCAGTATAGTCATTTATAAGCATCTATGATTAATTCTGATTAGGAATTTTGTTTTACTGTTTCGAATATGGACTATTAGATTGGATAGGTATTTTTAAATTATAATTAGGAAAAAAAACCTCTTTCTGCCAGAGGTTAACCTTGTCTAAGGCCTGTAACTCAATGCTATATCTACTTAAGATGCCTGAAGTCATTTGTTTCGTTTAGGATAGACAGAAATACTCATTATACTTTGAGTGGATGATATAAGAGTGCTGATACCCAGGTAATTATGAGCAGATGTCTTCACTGACCAACCTGGACTGATTTGAAGGAAACTGGGTATAGGAGATATGTTCTAAATAGGTACCTGAAACTGCAGATAGTACTAAGCTGTATGTATATTATGTTTTTTCCTATATGTACGTACCCATGATAAAGTTTAATTTATAAATTAGGCGCAGGAAAGATGAACAATAATGAATAATAAAATAGAGCAATTATAACAATATACTATAATAAAAGTTATATGAATGTGGACTCTCAAAATATCTTACTGTTCTGTACTCACCCTTCTTGTGATGAAGGTGGAGTGACACAGGATTTCATCATGTTATTCAGAATGGTATGCAATTTAAAACTTTGGAATTGTTTATTTCTGGAATTTTCCATTTAATATTTTTAGACTGCAGTTGACTATAGGTAACTGGAACTACAGAAAGAGAAACCGTGAATAAGAGGAGACTACTGTACTTACTGATTATCCATTTAGGTATTAATAGTTTTGCTGTATGTTACTTTTTACTAGGGAAATTTGTTAAGTCTAAAATGGTCAGTTTTTCTTCCTGTATTGAAATAGATTATTTACTAGATGAAATAGCTTATATTTAGGTATTACGTTTGATGAAAATTACTCAGGTTTAAATTCCAGATTCATACTCGATACATACTCAGTACTGGATGTTCATACTCAGAGAGGCAAAAGGGAATTGAGATCACTCATACATTCAACAAATATTTTACTGTGTGACTCTTAGGGGTATAGTAGTGAACAAAAACAACAAAGTGCTTGCCAGTAGGATCTTCTTGTAGACAAACAAAAATATAAATATATGTAAAACAGGTGGTAATAAATGTTTTAAGGAAGAATAAAGCTGAGTAAAAGGTTAAAGGGTAATGACATTATGGAGGTGACAGTTTATTTAAAGTGTTATGGAAAACCTCTTGAATAAAGATATATTTGAGCAGTGACCTTCAAGAAGTAAAAAGTTAAGCCATGAAGGTATCTCAGGGAAGATTGTTCCAGGCAAGGGAATAGCAAGTAAAAGCCTGAGACAGGAATACTCTTGGAATATGTCCAAGGAATAGCAAGGAGGTTAGTGTGGCTAGAATGACTGAGTTAGATGGAGGAGGAAGAGGAAGACACAAGGTGAGATCATTTAGGGCCAATGTGAGCTAGGAAAGTGTTTTCAGGAGTAACATGATCTGGTACATTTTAAAAGGATTGCTCTGGCTGTGAAGGGAAGAAAATCATAGGAGAATAAGAGTACAGGTGGAAATTGCCTAGTTAGGTGGGTTTTTTCTTTTTTGTTCTTTTTATTTTAGGTGGTGTTTTTCTGTACCACAAATTATGGTGGCTTGAGCCAAGGAGATATTAGTGGAGATGAGAATTGGTTCAATTCTGTATGTACAGTTGAGCCTTGAACAACACAGGAGTTAGGGATGCTGACCCCTGCCCAGTCAAAAATCAATGTATAACTTTTGACTCCCTCAGAACTTGACTACTAATAGCTACTGTTGACTGGAAACCTTACAGTTAACATAAACAGTTGATAAACACATTTTGTATGTTATATGTGTTACATACAGTATTCTTACAATAAAGTAAACTAGAGAAAGAATCTTATTAAGAAATTAAGGATGAAGAAATATATTTATTGTTCATTGAGCAGAAGTGGATCATTATAAGGTCTTTATCCTTGTTGTCTTCACATTGAGTGGGCAAAGGAAGAGAAGGGATTGGTCTTGCTGTCTTGGATGGCAATGCAGAGAAGGTGGAAGGGGAGACAGGAGAGGCAAGCACATTCAGTATAGCTTTTATTGAAAAACATCCATGAATAAGCAGACCCTTGCAGTTCAAACACATGTTGTTCAAGGGTCAGCTACATTGTACTTGAAAGATGAAGCTAACAGGATTTGTTGATGGATTGAATATAGGGTACAAGGAAGAAGAAAGTCAGAGTTGACTACAAGGTCTCTACCTAAAGAACTGGTAAAATAGAAGTTGCCAGTTATTGAGATGGGGAAGGCTGGTGGGAGAACGTCTGGCAGGGTATAGTGAGGAATTCTCTTTTAGAAGTAGAATGGTGGTGGTTTTTGGGAGTGGGGGAAATAGGGAGATGTTTGTCAAGGGATTCAGAGGTTCAGTTATGCAAGATGAATAAATTCTGGCTACCCAATATATAGATGTACAGCAGTGTGGATATAATTAACAGTGTATTGTATACTTGAAATTTGCCAAGCCTATAGATCATGTATTCTCACTACACGAAAAAGGGAGAATAGTAACAGTGAGGTGATGGATATGTTAGTTTGTGGTGATTATTTTCACAGTGTATACATACATCAGAACATCAAGTGGTATGCCTTAAATATATACAATTTTTGTCAATTGTACCTCACTAATGATGATGGGCAAATTCGTTTTTCAATAAGTAAGGTGTCTGCAACCATATAGAGATGCTCTGAAGAAATCAGATGCTTACATATCATGCACAAATACCATCTATTCATCTTCATGTTGTTTTAGTGGTGAACAGTTTGTGTTGACATGTGTTTGTTTATGCTTGACTCCTCAGTTTAATTGATGGTTTCTTCCAGTTGTTAGTTCTTTTCTCACTCATGAGTTCAGGCAAAATGTTGAAGACTGTGATGATTAGATATAAGACTGAGGTAATCTGGTGAAACCCACCTCTACAAAAAATACAAAAATTAGCCAAATGTGGTTATACACACCTGTAGTCCCAGCTAGTTGGGAGGCTGAGGTGGGAGAATCACCTGAACCTGGGGAAGTTGAGGCTGCAGGTAAGTCATGATCATGCCACCACACTCCGGCGTGGGCGCCAGAGTAAGAGACCCTTTCTCAAAAAAATAAATTAAAAGGAAATAAGACTGAAAAGGAAGATTGCTATGCAAGTAGACACAGTTAAAAGCTTTTTTCATTTGGATACAATGTGGTGAAACTATTTTGGAAAAACTAACCTGGTTAAAGTATTCCAAAATGATGGGAAGCCAAGTAATCTGTTAGAAAGTTTCTAAAGATGTCAACTGAGGTTAATAAGCTGTCCTCTGAGATTATGTATCAACAGCATTTTGTAAAGTCTTTTTTAAAAAGCTAAATATCTTGTCCAAGATCACATTGGTAATAATTGGAGCCTCCAGAATTTGATCCAGCCTTCTGACTTTATATCCAATGCCACTTTTTACCACGAAATAATGCTAAAGCATGATATTGTTAGTGTTACTGATCTTAATTAAGCCTCTCACTTTATGGTTGTCCACAATCTCTATAACTTAAATTATTGCCATTCTGATGGATCTCATTTGGATGTACTGTCAAAAATAATTTTTAATGTAAAATCAGTGCTCTGTCATTTTGATAACAGAATAGCTGTCCCCCACTTACCAGTTAACTGTGTGTTTTTTTTTTTTTTTTTT